GTGCGTGCGTGCGTGCGTGCGTGCGTGCGTGCGTGCGTGCGTGCGTGCGTGCGTGTATGACGTGGTAACACCGCAGCCAGTATCTTGCTACCGTCGCTACCGCTCGAGAGCAGCGATCTACGTCAGCACCCGGAAAAACGTTCACTTGTTTGGCGCTGCGTTCAAGGCCGCCGAACAAGTGAACATCGCCCGATGCAAAGCCACCGCCCCGCGAGACGAGTGACGTCACTCAAGGTACCGACATTTTTTTCACATTAAGCAGTTTTTTAAAGGTTTTAAGCAAACCAGCCAGTCTACGTTTGTGTAACAAATTACTAACAAGTTGCTGCAGGGCCAAGCGCATCCATTTGCTTTGGAGTTAGCTTCAGCTTTATTCGCTTAAAGCTATTATTACATTTCTCTTGCTTTTTAGGTGACAGTGTAAATAATGTAATTTATATATATAATTGCGTTTATAGTAGATTAGTTTAAATTTGTAAAAATTGTTTTTAAAGACTAAGTAAGTAAGAATGAGAATGAATGCTTAAACGGTTTAGAGTTTAAAGGGAATTTATTGCGTTGAAAGCATTCGATTAAATTAGCCACGAGTTTATTTTAAGTTTTTAGCAATTAGCTCGAGTATTAATTGCGGTAATCTTTATGATATTTTGGCAATTATATTTGTTAATTATAATTAATGGCTTCGTGGATGTGTCACCTCCTGCCCCACAGCAACTCTCAGTTTTATTTGTTTGTTTGTTTAAATGTTAGTGTTGTCTACTGTTTACGTAAATTCAAGTTAAAACTAAGTAAGAAACTCCGTCCGTCTGTAGTGGAGGCAAACTGTGAGGAAAGTAGTTGTAGTAGTAGACACCATGCATAGTCACAAAAATAATCGGAATAAATAATGATGAGTATATGGGTTAACGAGTGGATATACGGGCACGAAGAAATAAGCGTCGAAGAATTAATAAACAATTAATGATAAATCCACCGATAATTAATAAATTCACCTATAATTAATAAATCGACCCATAATTAATAAATCCACCAATCTCGCAGTCTGATTCTCCGGTCTGGTCCGATGATAAACTGGTGCTGCCACCTGGCAGTGATAATACACACAATAACACATAGACACGACTATGCTTCGGTTTTAACGGGGTATACGCGATTGCGACATAAAAATAGTAATAATAATGATAATTAAGTTATAATTATTACGTAATTAAACAGCGGCACGTACGCACACGTGACTGCATTATGGATAAGAGTTTAGATCTTGTGTTTTATCGCCACCTGGCGGTAGATGATGATGTATATAATAATAATCACAATAGTAATTATGAGTAAGTAGTAATTATGCTTACAATAACGCGTTATGCTCGTGATAGTTGGTTTCGTCAACGAACGCGCACGCGTTAGATTTGGATAATCATAGTTTAAGAAACCCCCAATTTCTTCAATACAAACCATCCCAACTCTCAAACCCTAACCCTAACCCTGACTACAACACAAATGTGATCCCCGGTCCCACCCATACACCTTCTTTCACACTAAATCCCACCAAACTTCCCTCCCCCAAACCCACCCACCCTCCCACCAACCAATTTCAACCAACCCTTGCTCCTACCAAGACCAGATTGAGAGAGCAATAAAGGAAAGAAAGACAGAGAAAGACGAGAGATAAGACGAGAGAACAAGAGAGAGCCGTGTGGAGAGAGGAACGGATGAGCAGGGAGGAGGAGAAAGAGAAAGAAGAGAGACGAGAGAGGACGAGAGAGAGAGAAAGCAAGGAGAGAGGAGAGAGACCAGAGGCGCGCGAAGGAAAGAAGACGGCATGACATGGACAATCAGACATGCCACCTGGAGAGAATAGTTTGTTGCTTTTAAGCAACCCGACAACATATTAGAGTTATTAAACGATTCAATCAAAAGATCTTAAAAGTGGTTCGCTGCCAAAAAAAATTACATTACCGTCCATTCGTTCAGTGAAGTTCTATCCATAT